CCCGGACGTTCAAGTCCCTATCTCGCAGACACGTCCGTTAGATAGTGGTTAGGCAATATGGAAGCTATGTTGAGCCCCGTTAGGGGAACCTGTTCAGCCAAATGTCCAGATGATGCAGATGATGCAAAGCAGAAACTTGCATGTCTTGCATCCCTAAAGCCTTCAAGATACCCAACATTAGCGCGAAAGCACTTTAAGCCGGTTCCAAAAACGTGAAAAAGCACAGGATTCTAGAGCAAAAATGCCCCCCCCCCCCTAGCTAAAGCTATAGTATACTGACGATACTAACGGATGCTCGCGTGCCCTATAAAACGCCTCAGCACCTTCGGTGCGGGCGGATTTTGAAACTGTTCGGCAAAACATCCAAGAGGACAGGATGCAGAACTCCAATCTCTCGAGTCAAGATTTGCCATGAACAGCAAGCAGGTTTCAAAAGCTCATCAAGAGCTTATGTCACTTTTGTTTCTGTCTTTGGGGCGTCTCTGGCCTTTTCTAAGGATGTATGCCAAACTGAAATCTGAGCTGGCCTCCGATGGACCTGTCGAAATTTCGATCAAAGAAACGCACCTTGCCTGACAGCCATGGGAGAGTGGTGCTTTTTGCTTTTTGATCGTCTGACCAAGCAGGGAACCCACCAATCGCACCAAGGGATGAGGCGGGTGATGAGACAATGAAGGATGCAAAGGAGTGGAGGCCGGAAAAGGATGCGAGACAGATTTGTTTCCAAACAATGGACCTGGCACCTGTGGAGTTTGGACTGTCCTTTCATAATGACTAATACTTAATATTGTCCATTTGATAGCATATCATTTGGTACACCTCGACGCCTTCCATTGGAGCACAGCCTCACGCATAGAACATTGCCTTTCGCTCTTGTTGTATGGTCTTGAGCTCAGGGAGACTGAAAGGGAGTTGCAGCAGGCAACCGAAGACCTGGGCAAAGCCTCCCACAAGGCTGGATTTCTTTTTTAAATTAGCCCGTGTGCTCTCCCCCCTTTGTCCCTCCTTAATTAAGTAGGCGCCTACTTAATTATGTAAGGCACTGAGGTAGCTAGTACAGCTAGGACGCAGGATAGCGCTCGCACTAAGCGTTTGGTTCCTAGATTTTTGGGGACACCTGACTATAGCCCATCGAATTCCCCAGCCTCCCGCCACCTCCGCCGGGATTCCGTCGGGATTCCGTTTGTGTCGTCGGATCGAGGCAGCCAAAGACCTTCAGCAAGGCACCAGGCAATTGCAGAAGGCGCTGCTGCTTTGGAATTCACTGGGATGACGTGTCGTGAGTTTAATACGGCTGTTCTGGGTGAACTTATTCTTATGGACAACTTACAGGCATGTAGAGATCAAGAAACCAATCAACTTAGGGACAGTCAATGGTTACAAACATGCCAACCGTTGGGAGCTGTTGCGAAAAGCTTCCCTCCCTATTTTGGCTGTGGGTGACTGATTCTTCAATTCTTCCAGCGTTTGTAGCCAGGGGCGTTCCCGAGCAGCTCAAGACATCGAGAAGGAGCGCTTTTGTCTCACATGCAACGGTTGGATGGTGGAAGACATATCAGGCTTTTGCTTCCCCTTATTTTGTGGTCGAAGAATCCTTGGAGCAGCCGTCACAAGCTTGGAAGAGCCAGTTTCTTCTTTGCCGAAAGGAGCTGCAAAGAGAAGAACAAGGATAAGGTCTCGCTGAGCCAGTCGAAAGCTGAAGACATTTATGAAGACCTGAAGAGTGCTGAAGACCTGAAAAGTGGCCGTGTGCAGTGTGCACAAAGCACTGGGTTTGTCCGCTTTGATACTGAGATCAACATGGTATGAATATCTATGCGTACGAATATGATAGCTAGATTACGATGAACTTGAAGGAGCAACGGAGCATGTGAGTGGCAGCTCGCTTCGTGCTCTTGTTTAGACCGCTGTTTTCATGCAAATTCCTCAGCAGACTCCATCCACTCAGATTTGACACATCCACATTCTTGCATGTTCGGTCATAAAGTAAAGCCTGAAATGCTCGCATCCATTTTGATACCTACCAAGGACGGTGCACGTTGCTACGCCTTTGTTTCTGACAACAACGGCACGGATCCAACGCAATGCCCTGGACCCTGGATGTGTTGTGGTGCTCCGGCTGAATTTTGATTTTGGAGCAAATTTGGCAAAGCAGCCGCACTTCAGCGGCACTTCAGCAAGCATCATGTTAGCCAAGGAGACGATGGCCAGTGGCAGAAAGATGAGAACATTAAATGCGTGGTGGCACAGGCGCTCCAGTGGTCCATTGAACCCAGGGCTGGAATGCCATGGAATGCCTCCTTCCCCCCGACGCCAGCATCGTGTTGCACCGCTATTCTGCCCGTGGCAGGCGTCCACGGATCAGTTCACCATGCTTAGAAGCCAGGCCACGGCGAAGCCAGTCAAGCGCAGACGCCATGCCGTCATTTTGGCCACCCGATCCTTCGACATTTGTACTTTTTGTTGAGAGTGTTCGTATAACTTGCAATGGTACAGGTAGAAGAAGATCTGGCACATTATGGCTTGATGGATGATAAGAGTGAGGACCTTACTTCAGCAGAGGGATTTGAAAACAGAAAGGTGTCCAGTCTTTTCCCATACTGAGATGCCATCAGTATTTTCTATCAGGCTTAAAGCAGATGTGGAGGAAGCTGGACTCAGACAACCACTCAGTCGGAGATTGAATCTCTTGGTTGGATTTTTTCAGCTTTCGCCACGTGACTGAAAGCACACCCGAAAGCCGACTCAGAATGGCAACAACGTGGTGAGCCTTGCAGAGATAGATGCCCTTGTCGTCGATATGACCAAGGCGGTTTGATACGGTGGTGTATTTTCCCTATGGTGGGATCCAAGTGCTGAGCGGACTGATGAATACTTCCCTACTGTAATTCTTTTGGCCAGAGGGCGGCATGAAACTGATAGACACATCCGCAGAAATAGACTCCAATTTCTTATGCGGGAGTAGAACAATCTGCATTCCGACTTGGTGTGAATTGATCTGAATGGTCAGATTTTAATTGTTCTTTTTCTTCGGACTTTGCTTCTCCATTCGATTGATTGCAGGCTGGAATTTGGCCTGACTGGCTGAACAACAAGGATTCGATCAGGAGGGCGTATGAAAAGACGATCAAGTGGCTTGGTAGCACTTTCAATCAACAATAAGAAACGCTCCAACAGGTTGGTAACCCAAGAATTCCTTTGCCAGTGGTTTTGCACATGAGGATTGATGGTGATGAAGACGACTGGGTGGAGAAGGACGACTGCGCAGGGCTGGTGGGTCGTCGAAGCCAACCCAACATGAACCAAAAGCGAAACCTTGGTGATTGGCCAAAAGCTATTAGTAGCATCTTGCTCCTAGTAGCGATGCCCTTTGTTCCTAGTAGCTTTTTGTTACTAGTAGTAAGGCCAGGAGCTACTAGTAGCTTCTTTTTCAACCTGGAGATGCCAAGCAATCCGGACAATTCAGCAATCTGTCACGTGCCAGGAAGAGTTTCACGCACTACTTCTCAATCTCTTTTGGTTTGCCTGGCATGTCCTGAAGATTGTGCTTGGTCCTGTGTAGATGTTTTTTGCCAGTCTGAGCCGGTCCTGTGGCATGTTTTTCGCTTTTCACTGCTTGGTTTATGTTTGGAAGACACTTGCAAGGCTGCTTGAGGACACAGAATAGTAATGAATGCTGGGTCAAATACATCACATTCAGGTTTGAGATGAATAAACATTGTCGGTAGATATGTGGCCATCAACCAGAAGATCTGAAACTGTTATGTTGTTTGAGCCTCTCGGTGGTTTTTGCAAGTGTTTGAAACCTAGGGAATGACCAGAATGCTTCCTGCTAGCTGGCAGGTTTGGGCATTTGCATCAAATCTTTGAGCACCTGGACACGCAACTCGGCAAGAAGGACTCTGGCTTAACTCTGCCTTCCACTTTGGGTGATCCGATAGTGTATTTTGCTAATTCTTTCGCCCCGGGGAAGAGCTTTGTGTTTCTACAGACTACAGACATGGTCAACATAGAGCTGAGGAGCCATGATGGCAGATTGTCCCTGGAGGAATTCCAAGCAGGAATGGGCGAGTGCCACCCTTACCACGCCCACGAAGTCGTTTTGTAAGTCAAAGCCGTGGATTTGTTGATGGAGTTTGACGCGAACAGGGACACCATCTTATCTCGTTACCTTGCAAGGCTGGGAATTCAGCTTCCTCCTGATCAAGCAGAAAAAGAGTTTAGGCTGGCCCACTTTAAGATGCCTTGATTGGGGAAACAGCAAATTGAATGTTTGCATGTCTTGTTCCTGGACTTTGAGGGCAATTGACTTGGATCATGGTGGTATGGTCCTTTTCACAGAGTTCTGTGCCTATGTGCGGAAGCAGCTCGATTGGCTATTGGCTAGGCTGAAGTTTTGTGTGTCGCTACTTACTACACATGAGGTATCATGTTGGAGATCCTTGTCTAGTTGCTACTGTTTTCCTCCTGACCCGATTGGGGTATGTGACATTAGGGACTTGTTGGGCACTCCATCAGTAGAGCGTGTATGGAATTGAGCTGAGTCATTGCATTTCATGATTTGCGATGCAATGAGTTTGCTTCACAGGTACAAAGAGACCAGAGAAGCGTCACATTGGGTCATGCAGCGTCACATTGGGTCTCCCTTTGCAACTGAGGCGAGTTCAACCAGATCACAACCCGGCTTTTGATGCGGACATTGTGCCCCGACTTGCTGGTTTCTCTATGTGTGGCCAAGCTGGAAACTCGCTCATCCGTCAAGGTCACAAAAGACAAGTCCAGCGACACGCTCAGAAAGAAACACGGAGACAAGGCGCGCGCATCCTCATGAGGCATACGAGAATATGACATAATGACATAATGATGATGCTTAGTGCCAAACTCAGGACTAGGTTTTTGCAGGGGCTCAAGAGCTGCATCAGACAAGAATGAAGCAGTCGTTCTTTACTTTGGGTTCGCACGATGACAATAATTGATAGTAGTAGATTATGGGTATTAAGCGAGCTCCGAATTCGTGTTGCTTGCGGCGCAGCAGGCCACTCATGGCCAGTTTGTCCAAAAGAAGACCTTAGCAGACTTTGACAAACTGGAAAAGGATATCAAGGCTTGCTGTCTCTTTTTTTCTTTCCTCAGAACGATGGTTGAACACTGAACACGTTCAGTGGAAGGTGCAATACTTGTATGTGTCAGGACATGATAAAGGCAAATGACCAGGCAAGGCTCTCGAAGAGTCTTGCTTGCAAGGATCAACAGATTTGAGTGAACATTTGGGCTTTCAGTCTATGGTCCCGCGGGCTTTGTTCTTAGGATGTGGAAGCGATTGGACTTCAATGGTAACAACATTGTGTCTCTTGCAGAGGTGCAGACAACTGGCCCCTGTGTGATTTCAGGGCCGTGCCTTGTTATGCATGGCAAGGTTGACAAACTGGTGAACGAGCAGTTCCCCTTGTTGAACCACAAGCCTGCGTTGATGCGAGCGTTCCAAGCAACGCTCAGAGGAGGCAAGACACCTATACTTGGGCTACAGTGTACAGAGTTAGCTTGCTTAAACCGTCTTGTTGTGACGCGAGGCAATGGTGACGAATGGGTCCAGAAGCATGAGTTTAAGATGCTCCTTGGCGTGGCGCTCAGAGCTGGTTGGACTAGCTGGTTGGACTCATGCCAAGTCATGGCATGGCTGGTGGCATTTGAAGCTTGTCTATGCTTGTCGCTTTCATGACATCGGCATATATCGTCATGGCTGTGGGTCATGAGGGAACCTCTTCTACTTCAACAAGCTGTTTTGGCTTTTTGATCAGGCCTGACTGGCCGAGCATTCGGCATTCCCGACCCTCTTGCGAGTCGTCGCAGGTCGATGAGGACCACGACAGGCGCATGGACCTGAAGGTGGGAGCGGGTCCGCGGGTCCATGTGGGGTCTCAAAAGCAACGCAACGCTGAGCTCCAGGAGTTCCAGTGGTGCATGTCAATGTGTGGATTGAAAATGTCACAAGCGAAGGCCGAGGCAGGACGTTTCTCAGTCAGACAGAATTGGGAGAAGCAAGAATCGACGCGATTCTCGATTTTGGAGAGGCAGAATTCAAGAAGATCGATGTTAATGGTGGTGGGATTGTTCTCTTCGACGAGTCACTTGGCCGCTTCGAAAGCCAAGCTTGGCAAGATCAAAAGCCCATTTGTATCCATTTGTGCCCTGCTTTTTGAGGTTCTGCAGATATTTCACAGATCGACAATGCCCAGAGGCAATGCAGGAACTGCCGCGATCCCATCTTTCCGTCTGAGCATCAAATGATAGAGAACACAACATGTGCTCATTGTGGACAGGGGATATTTTAAAGAGGGAGTCGAAAGACATGGGGCACCTTTAACAAGGACTCTTGAGGCGCACAGTGCCCTCAAGTTTCTGACTCGCTCATGGTCAGAGGAAGAAACAAAGAAACAAAACAAAGACCCTTGAAAGGAGCCCCTAGTAAAGGGTTCTTGATGAAAGGGGCCTTTACCCACAACCTTTTTCTTTTCAATCCAACCCTTTCTTTTTTACACTGGAGTATGTGTTTTAGATCCTGAGTTGCCCAAAAAGGGTATGGTCTTGAAAACATTCTAAAACCACCCATGTGTCAATTCCTGGAACCTTTTTGCAACCCTGGGAGTACGCTTGTTCGTGCTTTTAACCCACTATTTTTTAAAGACCCATTGAACCTCCTTTTCTGACCCAGCTGCTAGCACCGTGGAATACATGTTCTGTCAATGCAACACCGTTGTGCTTTTTTCTGATGACATGTGAGAACGCCCGGATCTTGTCGCTTGCCCAAATACTTTCTCTAGGAGCTCACAAAGATCTTCATACGAGGTAAATGCAGGCAACAGTCCATTCACTATTCGCGCTGCTACGCGGCTGGGTCCGTCCGCACCGGGAGAAATGTGTGTTGTGGTAATATTGCGGTATCTGTGGTGTGGGCAGTAGTATAGTATCATTGCAAGAACTGGTTGTGGCTAGATTCTTGTGACAAACTGCTCTTCAAAATATGTTCTGAGTGCTATTAATCATAAAATAAATAGACATCATCCCGGTTCTGCCTGGTCAATACGAACCCCTAGCCAGCTAGAGCTGTACCGTGAAGCCGCTGGTGTTTGTTAATGCCGGTTCTACCTTGTTATTTTGACCAAATCTCAACCAACCAACTTTTTTTATTTCATTTTTTTCAATATGGCCTCAAAATTTGCACGTATCAAACCATTCGTGAAACGCCGTTATTTATAACGTTTTTTGCACTCGATTTTCAACAACCTTCAAACAGTCAGATTTCTCGCCCGATAAAGAGGCCCCCCGCTAAAGCTGAAATCTGGCGATTGACTATGCTATCCGGATCCTTTGCAGTCTTCACTCCGCGGTTTTCCTCAATGCGTGGCTGCATGTGGTCGGCAAAGCGTATTTTCTCCCATAGATGCTTGCAAAAAAGCTGGGAAGAAGCTGGCAGGAAGCAAAGTTTTCATCGGAGCCTTCTGCTATGACCACTGTCCAAACGAAAAACATGTCGGCCAATCAAGCCTATAGCCTACACTGCATTCCTCTTCTGTTGCAGCCCATGACTTTCGAAAGACTGCTTCTTGTTGCAGAAGGAAGTGCTCGTTGCATACAGCACTTGCGGCGCCGTGGCGCTGTGCGCGCCGCTTCTGCCAGTCTACTGCAGTTTGTTCCCATTTCGACTGCGACAGGATGTGCGACGGGACCACCTTCTGAAGCGCCAAAGAATTGATGTCCACCAGTGGCCGGTGGCTGCGACATGTGTTCCGACAGGTTGTTGCCGGTTGCTTCTCCAGCATGAGCTGCGAAACTGCGAAACTGCGCTCAGCATGTTTTCCCGATGTTGCAAAGGCCCGAGTATCTCACTCCTGCGTTGTTCTCGCGGGTATCGTCTCCGAGTTTCTGCGGGGCGGTGCGCCGGAAATCGGGTCTTTTGTCCAGAACCTTGCGTGCGCCCAGATGGGCGCCCCGATGCTAGCAAAACTTGACAGGATTTGAAGGGGCATCACATCTGCTTGTAGGCCATCGCTCCATTGCTATTAGGTTGGAGGCAATCGCTAGTAGGTTGGAGGCCATTGCTCGCGGGTGGATTGAGTACATCTGCGACTCTATGGTGGGCCCTCCACGACTGCAACTGATGGAATTCTTCACATCTGTCCTGTGTCAAAAAGTCGGTTCCAGGATCAACATACCGGAGTCCTGAGGTAAACAAGGGCTTCCCGGGTTAGAAACAGTAGCTGCGGGTTGAAACAAGGACCCCCGGGCTAAAAGGAGGTTCCCTCCTTCTTGTTTCATCTCTTTGGGTTCTTTTTAAGAGTTCTTTCACATTGAGAGATCCTTTGTTATCCAGCTCGAGCTGCAGGACTTCGTGGATCACCTGTGAGCAGCTCCAGCGAAGTCTGGTGTGCTGTTTTCTCAGTTAGTGCTCGAGAGGGGGGACGCTCTGTGGGACCCATTTTCTTCTTTGGGGCGAGTTTGGCAAACTTTGCCGGTTGGCTGTTGCTTGTTCGTTGAGCTCGCAGTGATTCATATTCGCAACGCGAATCGAGATGCTAAGCCAACCTTTGACTGCTTGACTTTGCGGTGACCACTACATTTCAGGGGCACGTGGCGTGGACAAAAACATTGTATAGATACCTCGTGCATGGATTGCATGTCACAAGAGACCAACAAAATAACAGCTGAGCACCTTGTTCCGTAGCCGATGTCAACCATGCCAGACCTATAGTATAGTGAGTCTAGTCCTCCACTGCAACAAACTGCTTCACATATGCGTTGTGTCATTGTTTCCCATGTGGCGAATGAAACACAATCTCCAATCAATCTTGCTTAGACTTCCCAAAGTATGTCCTCCTGAGGCATGAACATGGCAGGGGCTAGCATACATTCCACAGAAACAATCCAAGCACTGACAGACCTCCTTGGTTGCTGGTCGCAAAGGGATATTTTTCGTGGGGGGGTTTTATCATTCGGATTGGTGGATTGTTTTTGTTACCTGCAAGCGCGAAACCACCAATCTCGGAAGCAAGGGAAATTGGTAAACAAGAACACAAACAAACAAGCAAGATGGACGAGCACTTGAACATGTGAAGACTGGGGCCCAGAAAGCGTCCCTCTCTGTATTGGGGCTGTGCCCAGTACCTGAGGGTAGCATTGGATTCTTCAACTCATGTATCTGGGAATAGCTGTCCGTTGACCCTGTCGCCTCCGCTCGGTCAAAAAGGGGGCAACGTATTGGAGACCACAAGAGTCGAACGAAGACCGTGCAACGCATTGGAACCGCCAGCCAGAGTCGATCGCCGGCCGCTGAAATCAGCTGTCCCGTTGATCAGAACAATAGCTCACTCAGAGAATGTGGTCGGTTACTTTTGGATTGACTCATTGAACACACTTCGATGAGAAGAGTCCTTAGTGGTGCGTAAATGCATGGAGCAGGTGGAGCAAAGCTTGGGAGTTTGAAGACCCAGTGTGGCCAAAAGGGAGTGCGACCTGGCTGCCCCTAGAAACCGAACAGCCATCAACACAGCATCTCCAACAAGCTCCACGGGCAGTGGCCATCATGATCACAAGACTTTGGAGCAATGCTGTGCAAGGCCAGTTTTGGAGTTAATGTTTGACTTTGACTACTTTGATTATATATAGAGTGTTTTCTTGGGAGGCTGCAGAGCTTTGCAAACAGCACGGCGATGTTTACACAAAGTGCCACCCTCAGTCTCTCCAACCCTCCCAGCGCGCTCGCTGACGCCAAGCAAGCGTCAGGCGCCTGGTCTTCCTGACAAGATCTACCGACCGCATGTGCAGGTGGGTCCCAATAGTTCACCAAGGGATGCAACGAAGGAATACCCAGCAAGGGCAACCACCTGGTAGAAAATCTTTCGATTCCTGTTCTCGATCGCCCTGTTAGTTGAGAAGGAGTGTGCTGTGTAGATCTGTGATTTTGATGTTTGTAAAACGCAGGAGCCAGAACATTCCATAAAGATCAGTGGCCAACCAACAGGTGTGGCTAGGTGCGCTGACTTGTTGCGCTTCCATCAAGAGTCCAGCTTCTGAACATATTTATGTACATTCCAGCAAGAGCTTCTTTGGCTTCCTTCAGGTATATTCCAAAGAATTTTCGACATCAGCAATACATCGATTCCATTAGAAGCGCAGAGTACCCTGTTTGCTGCTTTGCCCGCTTTCTGAACAGCATGTGCCACCGTGTAATGTGTATCAGACAAGCTCGGACCCAGGTATCTCGGTGAAGATTCGCCATACAATCACCTTGGTGGTACCTTCTGGAAGGCGAACTCTTCAGTGAAAGGCGGTTTCTAACAGGTCCGCGGGGTCTGTCAGAATATGCTTCTCGTGCAGGCAAGGCGCTACAACGTCACTTACAATCCCATTCCAGCAGATAGCTCTGTCCTTCCAGGCGCTTTTGAACTTTTGGTGGAATGAGTTTCTTTAGCGATGGCCTCCAACCCAAGAGCGATGGCCTCTAACTAAGAGCGATGGCCTCCAACCTAATTAGTAGCGATGGCCTCCACCCTAGTAGCTATGGCCTCCAACCTAATGGCCAATAGCCTTTTGGTGGAATGAGTTTCTTTGTGAACTGCTTACATTGGCTGCGTCCAGGTGTCCACTTCCACTCCAGGCTCAATGTCTGGGTTGTGGAATGGCATGAACAGGCTGGGCGCATCAACATTTTAATCTAGCTCGACTCCTTCCCCTTCCCACAGATACTTTCGGTGTGGTCTCTAAAAACTTACTCCAACCGACGCAATCAGTTCAGGTCTGCATGGTTCTATCCCGCGTTGCGTTCGTGCTTTTACCTTCATCATTCTGACCTGTCAGAAACACGGCATCTCGCCTCAGGAAAGGCACCGCATCAAATATGTTCGCGCGAGCTATGGCTTCATGCGCGCCAAGATGAATGCGGAAGTGCCGACCTTATTCTCTGGCAGCCCCGTGCCGTGCGTCTCCGTCGGTGCTCAGTGATGATCCGTGACCGAACAAACCAGCACCTAATAATGTAGTCGCCGTTCTGATTTTGTGTTAGCACATTGTTTAAACTTCTTAAGTCTCCATTCTCCATTTAACGGTTTGTTTTTGTTTATTTTCCCAGACAAGAGTTTGCAAACAAATTTCTTGTTGATACCGGCAAGTGCGCTAGCCCAACTTTTCAGGCATTCCGCCGAGATCTTGTCCAGGCAGGACGTATCGAGCTTAGCTTGTCGGCAGGGTGGCAACAGTGTAACAGTGTGTAAGAGTGTAATGCTGCTGGTTTCAGAAGATTGGTTTACACGCTTACATCCTGTTACATGCTGTTTTTCAGGGAAGATGCCACATCCCTTTCCTTTTGCAACATTTGATCAAGTAGTTCTAGATTGTCCCAATCAAGGCGTGGACAACCGTCGGACCGACCGACAGATTCAGATTCAACAGCTGGCTCGTCCGCACCTTACTGAAGTCTGACCTGTCAGGCTTTTGGTTCTTTTGGTTTTCACTTGGACAGCACACTGGCACACCCAGCAGGTTGACTCGCAATTTAGCAGGTTGACTCGCACTATGACACGTCAACTGTATGCCTAGTGTCACTGGTGCTAATCCGGCTTGTGGACAGAAAGGACAATTTTCTCAGCCATTGAACCGGAGGCGCTGAGTCAAGAAGGCTGTTCAAGAAGAAGTTTGATCGAAAAGATGCCCGTCGTGTAGGAAATTCAGGCTGAGGGGTTCATCCGCAGACCTCGCCAAAGCACCGACCTCATCTTCGATCTTCCTTCAGGCAGCAAGAAAGGCAACGAGCGAAAAGTTCGGAGAGACTATCAAAGAAGAGGCTGGGAGCGGCTGGGGATCAGAGGGTCCTGCAGAAATTCACGATTCACCCATTGAAGACAGAGCTGGATCGTTCGAGATTGTCGCGACGTGTTGTTGAACATAGCTGAACTTCTTTCTGGCAAGTTGGAAGGTTTGCTGCCGTGAGATGGCCAAAGAAGTCCCCATTCTGGGAGAGAAGCGGCAAGTGAGGTCAAGTCATGATTCATGAATATCATGAATCTAATCTGGGAACTCGTGGACAGACATATGGGATATTTGGTTACGACTACTTGTATTCTGTTTCACTGTTGTTTTCTTTCCTCCTGGAGACGGTCTTCTGGCTTTTGTTTTCACCTTAGAGACATCGCCGTTGTATATCGCCAGCGGCTGTTAATGATTGGCTTTTGAAAGGCCTCGTGGAAGAAACAGCACACCTTGTGTTGGCAGTCGGTTTCCAGCAATTCAGAGAGAATGCCACAGGAAGGCGCCGAGCTGCCTCACGTTTGTTGTCTTTGGCTCACAGCCTCAATTAGCAACAGCATCATTTAGGCACATGTAGGCTTCAAATGAGCTTAAATCAGAGGCTCATCACCATGGAAGCTTTTTTCCATTGAGCAGCTAGATTCATCTTCCATTCCATGGAACGAAGCCGAGAATTCAGGACGACATCTTGAGCTCTCGGGGGAGTTCGCAAGACTTCCGTATTTGTGACATTCCCTAATGGCGTTGCTCTGAGTCGACTGAATGCTTAAGTTCAGCGCAAAATCACTTGCTGAACCATATAGGAGTGCCTGACCTTTCTTGAGGCCAAGACAATCAAGTTGCGGGACATCACAACTCAACTCAATGATTGTGCAAGTGCCTCAACCTCCCTGTCAAAGCATATCCAAGCTTGAGAGAATCGCTTCAGGTCTACACCACAGCAAAGTACCCTTTGCTTGTGGATGCCACTGGCCAAGCATGCCAATTTCTCAAGTACCGTAGGCCAGACGTCTTCCGTCACTCTCTGCAGGGTGCAGAACCTGTGCAGTCGCATCAGCTAGCCAATCGCTCTTCCAAGCTTCAACTCGTGCAGTCGCTACCTCTCGATTTTGAAGAAGGGTGACTTCGAAAAAGAGACTTTGAGAAAGGCCCTGGTTCAGGCCCCTCTCTGTTGAAACATCAAACCGTTTGGCATGGTTTGGTGAGTGACAAGCGGCAAGGGTGCAGAGTTGTAAATAGCTACTACTAGTCTACAGTATTGTGTTTGATTGGATCGATAAAACGTGTGTTTCCGCCGCCAAGCAACAAAACAATAATTGTACAACGATCAGTGCTGGAGAGTGGACTCAGACCTCAACCGAATGGCGCTCGGGAGGCTCTCCATAATGGCGCTTGGTTGGTTCTTGATTTCGACACCGTGGACTGCGACTTGGAGTCCTATTTTGAGAAGGACGGGGAGCTAGGTAGCTAGTAGCGAACAAGTAGCTACTTCCGACAGGATGCAGGATAGCTCACGCTTCTTCAAGGAAGTTCCCCCTCAATACCTTTTGACCTGTTGCTCTAGTTACGTGTACAAAGGTTCACCTTGACCCCTGCCGCGGAAGCACGGGTGGTCGCCAAACGACTCCGCGCATGGTGTGCGAGCAAAAAAGGAAGTTCCCCCTGCCTGAGCGCGGGAAGCTTCCTTGAAGAAGCGCTCGCACTAATCATTTGGTTCCTAGTTCCTAGATTTTTAGAGCCTCCAAGATGTATCTATCTATCTATCTATCTATCTATCAGCCTTTCGGGCCCAGCAGGGCTATCCGGCCACGATGCGGCGCATGTGATGTCCGCGTGGCCATGGTCACCCTGATAGCAAGCTTCTCAAAGGAGTCAGGGCTCCGCTGCTGGATTTTGTTCCTCATCAGCACGTTGCTCCTGGTTCTGGCATTGCAAGCTACGCTGGGCCTGCCTGGTCCCAATTCCAGGTCCGTCACGACACGATCCTTTGTTGAGCACCTTTTTTCTAGTGACGGAAAAGGGCAGGGTTGGACGGGGGCCATGCCCCGTCCGAGAGGGGACAAGCTTGACCGCATCCAGCATGCCCCCCCGAAATCCATGGCTTAGGGCCCTCGGGATCCTACGGGATCACTCGAATTCGCAAACGTAGTTTCAAAAGAGCACAGCAAAGACTTGCACTACATGGTTTCGCCTACTACCATGGCCGTCTCCTCACTGGGCTTCCTTCGAATAGGCATGAGCAACCTACGACCAGCTGGATGACCTCCAACCGAGCTGGCAAGACACGGAAACGCCTGGCCATTTGCTGTTGGAATGCTATGGCATTGAGCTCTTCCAACTTTGTGGAGCTCCTTCAATGGGCCTCTGTTCGACAGATTGACGCCCTGATGATCCAGAGCACCCATTGGTCCATTGTAGAGCCTTGGACATCACATGGCTACCATATCATCCCGTCTCCTGAACTGCACAAAGCAGGCGGTGGATTGATTACAGCAATACGAACCTCCATTTGTTCCATGCGCAATATCAGTTTTCAGGACTGGCTGCCTGGTCGACTCCTTCATGTCCGCTGTTATCTCAACAAGCATCGCGTGGATTTGGTCAACATATATCAGGTTCCAACGGGGCAAACGCTCACCAGACCTGAACCCCTGAAACACAGACTGGAAATTTGGAATTCAGTTCATCAATTACTTCATCAACTCCCGGTTCGCAACACATTGGTATTGGGAGGTGACTTCAACACTTCTCTTCGTGTTGGCACGGGAGCTGCTGCCTCAGATTGGAAGTATTCCGGCAGATTGGAAAGTCTGGATCCATTGCAAAAATCAGTCCGCCCATGTGCTGCCTCACAATCACACCAAGGCCTTGATTCGAGCTGCGCATCAACATCAGGACGGATGGTACAGATATTTGCAGGAGGCTGCCACTTTGACAGCCCAATTAACCACTCAGGATCCGGAACACCTGACCTCACGACTGCTTCAATCGAGCACTATGGCCACAACGAAGGTGGACCCCTCCATGCCCCTGTGGCTCCAACCACAGAGCCACTCGCTGGTTGCCAGGAAATGGAGGCATCTCTTTAAAGCCAGACACTGTGGCAGAGGTCTACAAGGCCTGCTCCTCAGATGGGCACATTGGACCAAGTTCATGCAATATCACAAACAACTCCAGCTTCACTGTCGACAAAGCAAACGAGATCGGATTCGGAACATCACTGCATCTGCTGCAAGGGCAGCGCACCAGCGCGACTCCAGAGCCCTCTACGAGGCAGTGAGGGCTCTCACGCCCAAACAGATTAGGAAAGCCGTCAGATTCAGAGGACCACAGGGACAGATCATGGCGCCTGAACAGGAACTTGACTGGCTATGTGACCATTTTCACGACATCTTTGGTCATGAAGACCAACCGTTGACATGTGCACCATGGTTGGTGTCTGCAGATGAAATTGCAGTGCAACTCTCCAAGATCAGGATCCATAAAGCTGTAGCCCCAGGTACACTTCCAGGCATCATCATCAAGTCCATGGCTGAACCGCTTGCACATTGGCTGGAAGCTTACCTATGGCAAAGTGCACCATGCGTGCCAGCATGCTGGAAGGATGCACACTTGACTCTCTTGGCCAAGAAGAAAGTGTTGACCCCGGCTGACCTGAGGCCGATTGCTTTGACCTGTGGCCTTGGCAAGGCCCTTCTGGGAACATACATGCAAAAGGCACGAGACTTCATGCTACCTACCATGCAAAAATATCCTGTATTCGCTTATTTGCCACACCGTGGAGTTCCTGAAGCTTTATACCTGGCACACCAGTTTTGCTCTGAAATTCGTGAACGATGTCAGGTGATGAAACCTGGACCATGGAGACCATCTGAGGACCTCACGGGGAGTGATCCGGACCCTGCATGGCATCGGTGCCGGTGACCCACAGCTGTCCGTATTGTGCTCAAAGCTTTGACTCACTTGCAATGTTGAATAGACACATGTCCAAGAGACACAAGGTCACACAGATGTTCCAACGATTCGTCAATTTGAGAGACGCTCTACATGGTCGACCACAATGTTGTCACTGTAATGAAGTTCACCTTATGGACTGGACTTATCCACCACATTGAACACAACAGTTGCACCATGTTCAACGCGGCTCGTGCTCCGCAGGTACCTCCCTGTGATGATGAAGATATGCGCCAGTATGTTGGCACTCATGCTTGGAACGCCCTGTTTGAACGTCCGGACCTCACTGGATGGATTCGCCAACACTGTGTGATATGTGCTCGGGCATTCCAAACTGGGAAAGACCTACGCCGTCTTGCGCGATGTCATCACTCCATGTGGGAGGCCTCCAAATCCAAGACCTCTGAGATTGTCCTGCAGATCAATGACACACGAGCTTGCTTGGCCTGTGGCATAGACAAGGCCGCCGCTCACAGTTGTCACGCCCTTCGTCAACTGGCCATTGTACTTCATATGCGTGAACATCAGTTATGGTCGAAAGACCTTCTGACGGAACAGGTTGCGAGCTTGGCACCTCCTCGACCAGACCCAGATCAAGCACTTCCAGAGTCGGTGAAGAGGCGCAAGATGGACACAACTGAGGAACAATCCTGTCTCTTCCAACCTGCAAGGGATTCTGCTGACGGTACTCCTACCTGCTCACATTGTATGAAGACATTGGCCTCCTTCTTCAGTTTGAGGAACCACATTGAACATGGATGCAAGAGCTTCAACCCCAACAGACCACCGGGCAGCCACGTTCCCTGTCTGTGGCCTAACCTGCGGAAACTGTCCAGTGAGCATGATCTGGAAGCCATTGTGAGCAACACGGTCTACCAAGCGGCTCTCAGATCCTGCTGCGTGCTGTGTGGCAGGCAATCCCATCGACCCGGAGGAGTTGCGCAGCACCTGGCACAAGATCATAGCGCCATCATGGAACAAGCCCTGCACTTGGAGAGCAAATACCAAAACATTGCAGCGGCCGGTGGCAAGCCATGTCTTTGTGGAAATTATTCCACGAAAAAGGGACACAGATGCATGGTGTTTCAACAGCTTGCAGTGCTGCATTTGGCTGTCACACCACAACAACAGCAGGATGAACACTTCTTGACCAAGGCTCCGCTGCCATCAGACGACCCTCTCTACTATTGGAACAACGACGAGTGGAGCACGAAACTCAGTAGAGAGTGCAGCATCTGTAAAGCCCCATGTGAACCTGGTGATCTTGTTGCACACCTCCATGATCACCACGATGATTTGATCCAGCTGATCATGTCCAAAATCACCGCATGCTTGAGCCCTACACCGTACTGCTGCAGCTATTGCTGGAAGGCTCCGGAGGTAGTTGATCAGTGCCCCACGACGTGGAACTTGGCAGCCCTGCTGGCCTCCCATGCCACACTTCGAGATCACACCGGACGATCTGATGGGAACTGACGGACACCTTCGGCGGCCTGCTGGACGTCCAACCTCGTCAACAGGCTCTCAAGCGGCCCAAACACGAGATCGAACCAGCATCAAGAGATTCCTCAGACCAGCTGCCAAAGATGGTTCAACTTCTAGCCACCCTCACATTGAGGCACGAGAGTCAGTTGCAGGCCCTGGCGGTTCAGGACACGTACATATTGTTTCTCCAGCCGGGGACTTCCAGCATCATTCCAGCTATTCAGCAGACAACAGTAGCCTGGAAGCAAGAAGTGGACCAGAAAACGGCTACACAGTCTCTGCGCCTCAAGCTCGTGACCATGATCTCTCAGGCACTCCTGGACAGGATGCTGAAGGTGGCTCAAGCATCCACTACGATGGATATTTGGCAAGAAGCCATTCGCCACAACCTCATCACGGAGGCTGGAGCGTGGAACTACCTGTCTTGGAATCCACAGACCAAACAGGTACAAGTCATGCAGAAACCACCCATCTCGATGACCAGCAAGCCTTCTGGAAGAGCTGGTTGAACTGATCAGGGATCCGACAGAGGTAGTCAGACTCAAGTCCCTGAAGGCCTCAGATCAGGACTCCCAGCAGACCAAGATCATGCCTTGGATGCTACAAGGAAGCCTCCGACACCAACGACTCTACGAGGTCCTTCAGATGCTGTCAGCTTCGTCGGTGTGGAGCCTCCTGCTCGGCCGCCTCAGGCCCCATACAGTGAGAGAGAACCCCATCGCGAGGGGATCATATGGCCAATCGAGAAGGAAGTGATCATTGGGTGGCTCATGGCTGTCAGGTTGAGCAATGCCCAAAATGACTGCTATCAAAACGCCGCCTTTCAAGCCATGTTTTGGGCCCTGCTTCAACTCAAAGACCCTATGTGGAACGAGCTGGGGGAGGGAGCGGAGAAGTTTGCTGAGCCTTTTGGCATGGACAGCATGTGGATTAGTTTGAAAGATCTCCCAGGGTTTGGGGAGTTCCTCAGGCCTTGGGGTGAAGGTCAACAGGACCTCCACGAGTTTCTGGGCGCATTCCTTGAAGGGGAAGAGATCAGAATCACTGATCGTGGGGCGCCGCACAATCCTCCGACCTTGAGTGCACCAGCAAACACTGTGGAGACTGACCTTCAAACCTTGGTTGATAGCTGGACACACTATCTAGGCATGCAAACCACCTTTCATGCCAGTGGTCGTCTTGCGTGCCTGCACCTCGACCGTTTTGCACATGATCACCAAGGCCACCTCCGCAAGTGCTGCTGGAACCTTGAAGTGAACGCTCGAATTTGGCTGCCAATCCAAGGTGACAAGAAGTTGACCTTCGAACAGCATTCCTACATCGTGGTTGCAGCAGTCTCGCACAAAGGTCAAGATGAAGCTGGGCACCTGCAAGCCATTGGCTTGTCAGCTCAAGGCTGGATAGTGTTCAACGATCTGGTTGAAGCTCAGGTTGTTGGTAGTCAGCCACCCCTGACTGACAACTGGATCTTTGTGTGGCTGGCCAGGGAAGATGCGGTCGACTTAGGACTCGGCAGGTTTGGACTCCTGGGCACCGACACCTTTCCCAGGACCATTGCCACGCTGCATCAACAACACGCCATGCACATGGAGCGCTATCCTGAGGCTGTCCTCACTCGGCTTCGCTCCCACTGCAGTGTTTGCGGCAAGCTGACCACCTCGCACGAAGCCCTATGCCGCCACGTGAGCCTTCGACGCCCTGAACTGAGTGAGATGCTGAAGATTGATGATTTTTTGCAGACTCACCAAGAGACTGCGAACATCCCGTGCCATGGATGCACGGCATGTCCCTTGCTGTCCACCCGTCCTCTGAATGTAAGGATTGGGACAGAGTGGAACAGACGCCAACAAGCTCACTCTGGTCCCCTGTTCATGCCAGGCCGCACAATGGCCGAGGAAGGCCTTCAATTGGCACACCTCTTCCGAACTGCGTAGGGCTGTGTTCTCCGCTGAGTGGATCAGCGATTGTGAACCGGCCTGTCCAGGTCACTTGGTGCCCTGTGTTCTCCCTGATAACCAGGATTGTGAACCGGCCCAGGCCCTTCTGATTTGCTTGACTTCATGGACTGCCATAGCGGCTTTTGGTCCATGATGACTTTTTAATTCCGCCTACAGCGCACCACGGTGCTTAGACTGGTCAAAAAGACCAGCGAGGAGAAGAACTTCCTCCTGCGCCCTCGCAATCCTCAGACTGCTTCCGAGCGCCCGAAACTGAAAACTGAAACTATCTATCTATCTATCTATCTA